TTAGTAATTTCCTTCGCAATGACGTTTTCATTTACTTAAGAACTGGGAGTCGGTTTCACAGAGTTCTCGAAAACCATGTGGAATAGGAGACATTTGAAATGATCATTCGAAATGACAAAAAATTGGAAAGTTCAAAATTGCTATCGATTCGGCCAACGTAGTTATACAGTTTTTGTCCTACTTTATTGAGATACATTATGGAACTCTATTTATTTCAAATGGCAGGCGTTTTGATAGATATCATTAGCCATTTAGCTGACTTCGGGCTTCACAGAGGGAAGGTTCATCAAAGTTGCAGAAAGTCGAGAGGTGGGGAACAGAAGAGCGATTCACAGAGGTGAGGTCAGTACTGTGGAAGGGGTTAAATATGACAACTAGGGGGGTCGGGTAGTTTGAAGTCAGAAGTCAAATGCCGATTTATAGACTTTTTGCCGTATGAGTATACGTTGCTCAGGTTGCACCACGTGGAGGTAAGTCTATCGTACACCCCACATTATGGAACTTATATAGTCTTACCAAGCTGGAGGTCCGAAATTGTTGTGTGGATGCAATTTTTGTGCCTTACAATGTCAGTCTTCGTAACAGCTGTCTAACTTATTCATCGTCTGGACTGTCAGTGAGTTTGTTTCGGAAGGCTTCCTCAGTCTTTGCACACCGATTCGCGATATTCTGATCTGCTTTTTGTGTTTATAAAGGAAAGAAAACGTAAGCATCTAGAGCCAGAGAATCTCGAGAAGGTTTAAGTAAGGAAATATCCAGTCTTAAAGTTTGAATGTTCATAACGTTAGATATTTGTTCCAGCAGTGTTATATGATTCTCCTACCGTTGCCTCGGCAATAATTCTTGAGGTTCTCTTTGCTTCGTTAAAAGTTCGTTTTTTTAGCATTAGTTCAAATTTCTCAATACTCCATGATATTTTTATAGCTATTCAAATTTTGAGGCCTTTTCGATTTTGCGTCTCCAATTTTTTTTTCATGTACAAGTCGATATCCCAGCTAATAAAGTGAGTAATGCAAACTTTCGTTGTTGGTAACAAAATTGGAGGTGGTCAATTGCACTCAATTTTTCGTGTCCAAAAGTTGTTGGACATATGCTTTTTTCATTTTTATCGTTTCATGGCTCTTTCTAGCAGTTTTCTCGGTGAATAGCGAGTCTATTTTTCGTCTTTTTAGGAACGCTTCGATATATAGGACCAGTAGATTTCACCGATGGCCTTTGGTTGGGCGTGGAATTACGTGGTCCACATGGTCGACATGACGGCGCAGTCGCCGGTCGTCGTTACTTTACCTGTTCCCCCAATCACGGTGTCCTCGTGCGACCTTCACGGGTGACCTTCAGAGGAATCAATGCTGCTAAATTATTGCCACCTGGTCTGTTTGCTGCCTTCGAAAAGCGACCATCTGTTTTCGAAGAACCTTCGGATACACGATCAGTCATGACGCATCCCTGATTTCGCTTGATCTTCTCTAAATTGGAGTTGTATATGCCTCCTCTTCGCTCTAGTTTCTAGTTTTTTCACTTTTTCTTGATCTCATTTTGCCTTTCTCTCTTTCTTAGTCATTTGCATGCTTTCGCTAACTCCTTCTGCTGACTTGTATTACTGTATATTTATGCATTTTGGCATCTGCATTTAATCAATGGAATAATTTTATTGATTCGGAAGCGATCTATTTACATTTGTATTTTTGGGAAGGAGTTAGTATTGCACATAGAGTTGTGACTGCGTCTTGGAGAAAACTAGTATATATTTGCTGTGTCTTTTGCTGCCTCCGATGCAAACAAAGTATCGATATGTATATCTCCATTTGTTCAAAGGATGTTGCAAATTTACGATTGTTGGAAGGAAAGTGTGTGGCTTTCTGCTATAAATGGAGTAAATTAATCGTTGTTTGACGTTCAAAAATGACAGGATATCGGTAAATGCAAATGTGGGGTCTCGGTGTGTGTGTGCTTAAGCGTATTCGCACACAGTTATATAAACATACCATTTACATTGTTGGGACGAGATCAAAGTGTGATTTGTGCTATAACTGTAACAGTCCTATCTATCTTTTTTCCTGAACAGTAAAATCTGATAAGTCTTGAGATTTTTAATCTTGATGCTAAATGTTATTAATCTAACTGGATTTAGAATATAGATTATTTATATATGAAGAAAAACCGAAACATTGATCATCAATATATAAGCATCTAAGAGCAGTTGAAATTTAAATTGACTACCCATAAACCAGAATGCGAAATTATATATATATATGTGTGTGTGTGTGTGTTTATTTATATTTAACCTTATTTAAGCATGTGGATTTATTTTGGGTAGAAATATCCTTTGAAAGATTTCTGCCTAATTATCAGTAAAAATAGACGTTTTAAATGATATATTCGGTAATTAGTTAATTTTCAGAGATTTCATAACTTTCCAAGTTAAATAATATTTGAAACAAATTTACAAATACCTTTGCGTTGTCAGATCGATGAGATAGGTAGAGGTAATGTCGAAGGTTTTCAAGAAATCTCATTACTAAGAGTTGACCCACATTCGATTAAAATTAACTACGATTCATTAACATTATGTTTATTACTTCGAAAATGGACTCCAATTAATAACAGACTAAAAATTACGTAAATTGCACCATATCCGACGCAAAGGTTCTGCTGCTCTGATTTGATCAAGCATTCAAAAGAAGGTAAATTAGGCCAATGTACTAAGACAGTGTACGGTTTTCTGGTTATATTATGTTTTCATCTTCAATATCAAGGCATTCGCGTTATTTTGAAATATTTTATCAATTATTTATTCTACAAAGCTTAAAATGTTACTAATTTAAATAAAATTTAATAAACTAATAAAAATCGTATTGGGAATTAAGTTCATAATTGTAATGAATATGACATTCAATAAAGACTCCAACGCGCGAAAAACGAATTGAAAATCAGTTAAGATTACAATCGTGTAAAGAGCATTGATGAATTTGAATAAAGTCACGAATAAAAAATGTTGATTGCTACATTTATAGTAGCATTCTATGGCTATCAAAATCTATGCTGAGGGTTTCCATGTTCATTCTAATGAATAGCTAATCCAGTTATAGACTATTTTAAATGTTTAAATGTGAAATAACTTGCAGATATATTCCAAAATAACAATAACATTAATCGTTACTGATGTTCAATTTCAACTGAAAACGCATATATAATGCAAAAAATGATTTATAATATCGTTTTATTTACTTATCTTTTGATAATGAAATCTTGATTGCACTCGTTTTAACTTATTATTTGAAACAATTCTGATCTAGGTCAGCTATTTTACACGCGTATAAGCACATTGAAGCTAGCAAAAATAGTCTTGTACCACAATGTCTCTCTATATGGTAAAATAGATTTAATAGCAATTTTGTGTTTTAGCACAGCACCGACAATTTAGTTCCTCGCATTTTTGACATAATTGACAGTAATATGGGAGTTGGTCTCCTTGCCATGCCTTTTTTCTTTCATAAAGTAAAAATTTACCTAGTATTATTATCATTAGTGCGGCATCATATTGGCAGCCATTATTACATTATTTTTCTTGCATTTCATTTCAGTGAGACATACATTAGTTAAGATGCGACTTTCTTGAACGAACAGGTTTTGATGCTTTTTTAGTTAATCCCCGTTTATTGAGCCTTAAAGACTCATGAAGTTGCTGAAAAAGAATTGTTAGGTTATGACATAGTATGGATTTTTAAATTTATTTTCTCATTTAGGGTAATTGGTTTGTTATTCGGGATTTTGGTCGGCTTCAATGTTGCTATCAGGGAATTATTTGACGCTCATCATATAGAAAAGGTATCATTCTGAACTAATCATGCTTTAACTCTTTAGGCGCCCTTGCTTGTCAGGCGGATTGTTTTACTATTGACACTTCTGCATTGTGTCCTCATCATTACTAGTTCTGTTTGTTGTCAATTGTAGGTGTATGTACTTATAATTTTTTTCAGCCAAGTTAATGCAATCTACTCAAGATTGCCCAATCCATCAATGCCAAATATGAAGAAGATTCTCTTTTCTGCAATGACTTTCATCTTCCCCCACTATTTGCTTGTAAGTTGCACCTTATTTGACTTTAATTTCTAAGTCTACCTTAGTAGGCGCCTATATAAGATCAGTTTATTTACCTTTTGTTGCTAGTCTAAATTGCTGTTTTAAAGCATTTTGGGTATATGCATTTCGGCAGTTTAATAATGATGAATATATTCACGTATATTTCCTATTTTCGTTAGGTGTCCTTTGCCGCGTCCAAATTGTTTCAGCCTACTATTGCCACTAAGTCTGGTATCGGTGATGAGTTCCTGGAAAATGAGCATTTAACTGCTTTTTGCCCTTTTACCTATATTAGTTCTTTTATTCTACTTTCCACTAACTTTCCAATAATTAGATGCCGCAGGAGATGTTGCTTTCGGTTTTGTGATTGGTTCGATGAACTGCAATAGTTTAAATTATTTAAGAACATGGATGGTGCATTGTAAGCTTCTCATTAAAAATACTCGGAAATGTTTATTCTTTCCTTGTTTCGTAATCGTGACATTTAACGCTGATTCCTTTTTTTCATTTCGAGGATATTTAATGATGACTTCTCCCAACTAAAATTGATCATTTGGCAACATTTTTCAAAGTAAGTTGAAGAGTAGAGGCGCTAAAGACATTTTTGTTTTATAATCTTCAAATAACAACTTGTGCTCATTAAACGAGAATTAAAATAGTTTGACCATCTTTTCAAATCAATCTTCCGATTACCCTTGAACCTTTACAATAATGTAAACCATTTGGATTTGGGAGCGTTTGAACTCGACTTATTGAGCTTTATCAATTGAGGGAAGTGGAAACTTTTGACTTTTTACCCTACATGTTTTGAAACCTCTCTTTCAACCCTTGTTAGGATTCTGGTTTATTTTCCAGTAATTCGATTTTTCATCCTTTTTCTAAGTGATTATGCTGTCCCCTTGTTGTTGATAAGTTTCCTTAAATCTTCTATTTTGACTTTTTTTGTTGAAATGTGGGTTGCGCGATAGACTAACCTTCACGTGGTGCACCTTGGGCAACGTATATTTATATGTCAAAAAGGTCTATTAACCGGTAGTAAACTTCTGACTTCAAACTATCATGACCAAACTCTGTGTTCTGTTACCCCACTTCCAAAGTACTCACCTTACATTACCATTTTCTCTACCTTTGTGACTCTCTGTCTCTTTCACATCTGAGAATCACTCTTCTGTCCCCCCCCCCCCCACCTCAACATTTTATGACTTTGTCTTCTTCTCCCCTCGGTGAAGTCCGAAGTCAGCTAATGGGCTAATGATAACCATCATAACGTCTACCATTTGAAATGAAAAAATGTTAAAATGTATTCTTAAAACTCGACATGGCCATACTTATAAAGTTTGAGGAACGCTCATTTTTGTTTTGGCATTCTTTTATATGGTGCGACTGAAGTAGTCACCTCTACGCTTTGAATAAATCACGCCCAATTACTCGATAAATGTGTTTGAACCATGTAGAGGGTCATTCCATAAGCCTACTGTTCATGTGAATTCATTGTTCGTGTGATGGTTGTTTTACTATGGAAATGAATAGTTTTATGGCTCTTTTATCCCATAGTGTGCATTGTTTGTTCTTGCTTAATTCCCCCTTTTATTTTGAAACTTTTTTTACAAGAACTCCAATCTATTAGATTGTGATACTTATCTTTATGCTTTTAAGCCTCCATTTATCAATTAACAGGATGCAACAGCCTCTTCTTGTTCATAAGCAGGTAGAAATGTTATTTCGCAACAGCAGCAATAATTCGATTATGTAAATTTGCTCTTATAATTCGAGGACGAAATAGTTTGACAATTTGGAATAGTAGGTTCGAATGTGTCCAATTATTCGAATGACGTGGAATTAAAATCGTTCTATATCTATTGGCACTTTTAACCCTTCTTCACAGACCTATCGAAAGGTCAACTCTTGCTATAAAATATATTAGAAAAGGTTGTTTATTAATATGCTATCACGTCAGTAAGAAATGAGTGTAGAAAAAGTTCCAAATGGTTTCACATGAAACAGTCTGACACGTGTTTCATATATTCCACGTTTTTCGTGAGAAAGTAACAAAACAAGGGGAGGAGGAATACAATTCAGTGTTGTGGGTAATTCAAGTATCAATGATCCATCGACCTGGTGACCAGGTGAAAATACCCTGTTCTGAGAACGGCATAGACACTTCATCAGCCTAAAGCATATTTTCCTGAAAAGATGTGATTAGTACTGTTTCCTATTGTTTAGATTAGATTGTTCGTTAACTAGATATTGATTTCTCCAAGTCTTATTGGTAAACTACTATCATGTGTGTCTTCCGTTTATTTTAACCCCTAAGTTGTAACTTTTTCAAAGAAATGTGGCAGGGATACTACATCTTGATAAGTGAATCCACTACTTCATAAATCTACTGATTTATTCTACTTCCTCTAAGCCTTATTGGGATTAAAACAGATGCGTACGAAATTTCGATTTAGGTTGCCATCAATTTGGCGGTTTGCTGTGCGATTCTTTGTTGGTAATGGAGACCACACGAAGCATTGGTGATTAATTTATGGGAGAAAGAGAAGTGATTAGTCATTAGGGTCTTGAGAGGGAATGAATACCGTACAATCACAATGGCGACTTAATTTGATTTGACTTGCTATTAGTGTACCACAACTCTAATCATTGCTTTTGTATGAAACGTCACCTCCACTCACGATACTATTTTTCATAATACTACTAATTCTATCCCTTAAAGGCAAAGCTCGTTGGGGTACTTAACTTTCTACAATGGTTTTGGAACCACAATTATTAGTGATATTCTAGTAATGTACCCGGAAGATAACAGTGCGTTCCACATTTTCTTTTGCTTCCTCTACACAGTAGCGGTTTCCTTTTCGAACAACCCTCTACAGTCTGCGCTTTGAAGAAACTGCCCGTAAGCCGCTTACAATTTCTGGCTACTTATGATTTTTAATAGTATTTATGTTAGATTAGGTGAAAATGGTCACTTATGTAGAATCTACAAACTCTGTTGTAACCTTACAAAAGCAAGAATGAGGGAGCTAATTATAAATGCTCATTTTAGTGGTACCCTGGAAAAAACAACTGTTGGCTTATTTATATCTATTTGTCGAATAAGAATTTTTCTGCATAAATCATCATAATGTCTTCTGACTTTGCCCAGAAACCTTTGATCCTGCGGTTATTTATATAAGTCAAAATTACCTCTTCAACTATCTCCTTACCTCATTTTATAAAATGGCGAGAAGATTCTGTTTAATTATGTTTTGGTGGTACTTAATTAGACACAGAAGATTGTAGGAATCCCTTTTTCATTAACTTTATAATTTTTGCAAGATTCAGGATGGAAATACGTTTACATGCATCAGCTGACTACTAACCTTCATGCAGCGTGGATGCTATGATTCCAATATTTGTCAATATAGACTGAATCTACTCGATATGGCCTACTCATTGCAGAAAATTTAGCATTTCCGTATTAATAATTTTCTATTGTTCTGACACATTAATCAACCAACAGAGCAATTTCTTATCTCTACAATGATTCATGTGGTTAGTAGACGTAGATAACGGCTGCAGGAATTGCTGTATTAGCTCTAAATCAGCACAAGCACCTTGTGGTAATTAAATGTAACAACTATTAATTTATTAATAAATCGAGAAGTTTGACTCCATTTCATTAATTTACTGTGGTTTTCAAGGCAACTTAATGACCTCTAAGACAGTCCTAGTATGAAGTATGGTTAAGTTTTAATTTACTAAGGAGAAGGCAAGATTCTGAGGGCAGTGTTTTAACTGTTCTGAAAGTTGTTTCGTTCCCTTAATGAATGAAGGCTAGATGGTACTAGTTTTGTTCCTTTATCCAAACTCTATAGATGTATGTTGAGCACTTCTATGATATACGACGATTAGTAATGCTTATACGATTTTTAGCATTTTCGAATTGTTTTTTTTGCAAGTAACCTAATAAGCATCTCACTATACTCGTCTGTTAGAAGTCTCATTCTAAATTTCAAATAGCGATTTCTTGTTATTTTGTTAGAGCGAAGAAGGACCGTCAGCATGATAGCTATTCAGACTACGGATAAAGAGGTAAGCTCTAAAAGTTTGTGCAAACTGTCACATTGACTGGTTCTTGTTAAATCGAATCATTTCACTCTTCACCTCGGAATCGTTATGCCTCCAGTAACTGAAATTGTCAAATTTGTTTTTTTCGCACGCTTTATACTCAGTTAAAAGCTTTATATTTCTTCAGTTAGTTGAAGTAACCCTGGAGTACATTGGTGGACTGACTGAGGAAACGTGTTGCTGCCTTCTTCCACCGGCAATCAGTCGTCAAACCCTTGGAGTGCGAAAAGGCCCTTCGAGATGGGATTTACGATCCACCTTCTTTGTGGTCTCGGTACTCCAATACTTCTCAGTCCACTTCTTGCTTTCCTTGGTAAACACGCATATTTTTTAACTATCCCCATGATGCTAAAATATGGCAAAGACACTGTGTGGCCCGACTGCTTTCATTACTTTACTAGGCTAATTATTTTCGCTTGGTCACTCGAGTTGATCTTTATTTTCATTTATTGAGTTGGAAATAAAAATGGTAGAATTATAACAATTTTATTTACTTCACTCAGGATGTAAAGCAAGACTTTGGTGTAATTGAATTAATTACTAATGGAAATGTTTAATATTGAGAAACCTAGAAGTTTGGAAATACTGATGGCGTTTTTACAATACTAAGATGCTTTTGGATTCAGTCAGAAGCATCATTACCGCCTTTTCCAAGTTATTTTAAACGCATTTCCACAGAATAAATTTATTTTAAATTTAATTTATTAAATTGCCTTAAAATGTTTTTCATTAGTTTAGACTACCTTATTCATATGACCAATTTCACATGAAATATTTGGAAACGAGCAGACAATCATTGATTTTCATGATTAACATTTTGCCTTTTTCTAATTAGTGGAACAAATTCAGTTAAAAAGCCAATGGGATTTTCAATAAAATTTATAAAATATAATACGGGGTCTGAAGGTGAGATTTTAGCTGAAATAAACCTTTCGTTCGAATCAATATATCGAGACCTTCAAAAAGACGTTTTTCATAAACATTGATTTAAACAGTGAGAGGTAATGCAATGGAGAATTCTAGGAGGGAAATTGTGATGTGTTCTCCTGCTAAAAAGGACAATTTAAGTGATATTCAACCGAAATAGATAAGCTTAGTCAATAATTAGAATAACTCACTCAAATATTTTAGACACTTTCCAGTTCTGTTCAAGCAAGTGCACAACAATAGACCCTAACGAATTTGCTGTTTTATGGCTGCACTTACTTTTGAATCCTACTGAATTAAGTTATAGAGTTGTGAACCGTTCGTTCCGAGAAAGAAGCGGCAAAAAATGAATTTACTGTTGAAAGAAATTCAGGGTATAATTGTTTAAAAAAGGAATTACGACAATGTCGTAGTGACTATTCAATATTAGTCTTAGTTACTATAAATCAGGTATTTTAAGACTTATGTAAAATGAAGACCATTTTATTGGCTTACATTGATATACTTTAGGGGGAGGGGGGGGGGGGGGGGGGGAATACAAAGGACAAAGCTGCACAAGAAAGGTGTTACAATCCAATCAACCTTTACCCTAAAAGGAAAAAAATGACTCGAGTCAAATGCAAATAAACACGAGAAGGAAGCAGAATGAGAGAAATCAAAAAATGACCTGGGTGTTTTCTCGTTATGTGAGTTTTCAGAGCTTGAGTTGAAGCAAAGGCCATATTACATTGTTCACAAGCGTGGTTTCGTACAGGTTTTCGCTGTTCATGAACACTTTGACAATGACGTTGATAGCTTTGCGAAGTGGCAAATCCTTTTCCGCACCGGAAACAGAATCTAGCTATCCCATCTAAAGTGACACGATGTTCAATTCAACACTTTTGCTTATGCACATAGACACACATCACTTTGATTTAAACCAGCATGAATTTACCTCCATGGGTTAGTTCATAATGAGTTTCTAGTAACCGTCTCTCCTCAAAAGTTGCAGGACAACTGGGGCACTTGTATGGCACTGTAAACGATGTATTAAGGAGAATATTGAAGCATACCATTATGTGATATCCTTAGGTGATCGTGAAACTCATCATGGCTATCAATCGGCTTTCGACAGTAAGGACAAGATTGATCGCATTGATGAACGCGAGCTTTATGTCGAAAGAGATTGCCATAATCTCTAAACTCCTGACTGCATATATCACATGTAGTACATAGGGTTTTTAAACCTGAATCTAGCAAAAATATCAATGAAACACAGAAGAAAATGTATACTATTTTTAAGGGCTTTCGATGGTTCATAGGTGGCTTCAAGCATATTTAACTTAGACAAGGGATGGCCCCATTCTGAAACAGATTCAAAATTGAAATATAAGCAAAAAATTATGTCTAAATATGCAAGGAAAATCCACAGACCCTTAAGTGCATCTAGATGATATTCATCTATATTTTCCGTCCAGACAAGTTCGATAAGTGAATCAATTGTTGAATCAGGAAAATTCATGTCTAAGTTTTCAGTTAAAAACACTAAATAGCCGCGCTGAAATTGAAACGCTTTTGGCGCGTAGATGCCGCCATTTTCATGCTGATTAAAACAAACAAGTTTAAGTTAATATAACTTTAACCTATTTTATCAAAAACTGCAAATTCACGTGCATCAAAAAGATGACATAAATAAAATTTGTTAATTCTCTCACTTTTTATTTTTACTTTTAATTTAACTTTACCTTTGCCTTATAATTTTTGATAATTCGGTTCATTGCTTTTCAAATAATATTCGAATACTATTCGTTAGTTCTTTGAAGCACCTGTATTTTTGTTAAAATAGTTTTTTTCATAAAGTCTATGAACCTCATTTGGGTTTTTGAGTGAAAATTCTTTTTCTAGTATGTCTATGTTTTCATTATATATATATATATATATATATATATATATATAT